AACCCCCGGCTGCCTGCTCCACTGCCGCTTCCTTGCTGCCTGCCAGCCCCAATTGCAGTTGCCAGCCCCAGTTTTCAGGCTGATTTTTTGGGATCAGGGAAAGGGAGCACTGCTGGGCTGTTCCCAGCAGCGACCCAGTTTGCTGGACAAGGTCTTTGCCCTCCTTTGCTGGAAAGGGATTGCAAAACATCCGCGCTGTGGGGCACTGAGAGAGGCCCAGAGACCTAAAAAGCTCAGCTCCTCTCTTTGTACGGTATTTCTAGGTTTGTGTCATGCTCCATACGGCCTTTGGGGATGTATTTTGGTCTGCAGGTTTAGTAAGTTTTCTGATGTTGCAATCACCATTCTCTGGTTGAATAACTGTGCAGACCTGGCTGCATGTCCTCTCTGTGTCCCAGCAAGAAGACCTGCAGCTGATTTCCCTCGCTCCCACTTTCTTCCTGCAAGCCCATCCACGTGAGATCTCCAGCCCCTTGGTTTGATACTATTTTGAGTGTTTCTCCATTTCGTGTGGTTTATTCCCACGAAGCGACGGTAGAGTGTCTGAGCAAGCGCATCTCTGTTTTGGGAAGGGTGAGCAAAACAATGCCTGCTGCCTTGGCTTAGAGTCATCAAGTGGTTAGGGTTGGAAAGGACCTTAGAGATCATATAGTTCCAGCCCCCCTGCCATGGCTTCCCCGTGCAAAACCCCGCGGCAGTTGTGCAGCCCTGCGCCTGCTCCCACCCTGCTGGGAACTGGCCAAATCTGCCCATTTGGCCAGAGCAGAGCTGATGGATTTGGTTTTTTTCCCCGCTGGGGTGGAGAATGGGTGCTTCTGGTGTCATGCTTCATGCTGACAAGCATGGGGAGATGTCAGGGGAAGCCCCATGTCCCCAGTTTCCACTTGCCAAAACTGGGGGTACATTCCAGGACCCTCTTCCCAATGGCAGACATCCTTGTGCTAGCAGCCGGGTATGAGATGAAAGCAGGCTGCAGCCCCCCCAGCCCTCCCCTGCGCCGCTTGGAGGGATGCTCCTCACCATGGCAATCGCTCCGCTGGGCACATAAAGCGTTTCCAGGTACTGGGACAAAGCGTGGCTTTAATTGCTGTCCTCTTGGGTGCCAAGCTGGGCTGCTGCCTTGTCGTGCAGCCAGAAATAAATGCTGTAACAAACGTGATTCAGAGGCACATGGTGAAAGGGACGGGTTTCATGACAAATCGGCTGCCTGACTAGCTCCCCTAACAAGGGAGATGGCCAAGACTTTGTCCTCCCCTTGCCAGGGAGGGTGAAACGCGGCGCGACGAGACTCCCCTGCCACCGAGGAGCAGTCACGGATGCCGGAATAATTGACGACTCCGTGCTGCTTGTCATGGCCCAGCATCATAAATGCTTAAAAGGTTTATTTGCCAATTCTGAAAACTCCTGTGCACATCATGTTTAATGCAAATAGAGAGTGTGTTTAGGAAGATAGAAGACATTCCTAGAGGGAAAGGCAGTCCATTATCTCTGTGCTAACACCTCCTCCTCTAGCTGTAAGCCAAACAGCGGGGGACCGAGCAAGACGTGCTGATGAGGGTAACGAATGCAGGGCTATCCGACCATGAAAAGGAAGGATGGGATCATCTGGAGCAGGGGAGACAGCTTTGCCAAAACAAACCGCGTCACGTGCTGGTTTGTAAAACCTCCGAGGCTGATTCGCAGCCATCCAGTTCACGCTCTTGAAGCCACCTTTGTTCTTCTCCTGCTCCGAGACCAAGTCGGGTCAGTAGCATAGGATAGAGGAGCCTCAAGGATGTAAAGATAGCATGCATCCAGCTCATCCGGAGTGAGAAGCAGCCTCCAAGCTGTAGCTGTACCTCTCTCTGCTCTGCCATCTCTTTGCTGGAGGCTGGTCTCCCAGATCTGCCTCCCCGGGGATCCGCAGCAGCTTTGATTCTATAATCAGCCTCCTAGTACCTACAGGAGAGATGGGGAAACACACTTTATTGGGGAGTGCAGTGAGAGGACAAGGGGTAGCGGTTATAAGCTGCAAGAGGGGAGATTTAGACTAGACATTAGGAAGAAATTCTTCACTGTACGGATAGTGAGGCAGTGGCCCAGGTTGCCCAGAGCAGCTGTGGATGCCCCATCCCTGGAGGGGTTCAAGGCCAGGCTGGATGAGGCTTTGGGCAACCTGGGCTAGTGGGAGGGGTCCCTGCCCATGGCAGGGGGTGGGACTGGATGATTTGTAGCATCCCTTCCAACCCAAACCATTCTATGATTCTGTGATTGCTGTAAAATGCCTTCCCAGCACTGGTGCCCTGCAGAGGGGTCCTGCCCGAACGCGGAGTCAACCCCCAAGCACTGTGGAAAGGCGTTAGCATCTTCCTCTGCATGAGCAAAGAGCTCCAGAGCATCCCCGGGGATGTCATGCTGTGCTTGGAGAGCATGGCTGGGCCAGGATTGCACCGGTGGCACATCCATCCCTTTCCACCCCAACCCAGGCAGCGCTGGTGGCAGGGATGGGGTTTTGGGCATCCTCGTAGGGGAGACTTGAGTAATTGAAAAATAAATAGCAGGGAAGGGATGCAAAGGGTTGTGCGGGTGCTGCTGCTTTGCGTTGCAGCCAGGTTTGCGTGTTCCCAGCAGCACCGATTTTAAGCTAAATGAACGTGAGCCTGGTGGGCGCAGGGAGGGGTGCTGGGTGCTGGGGGAGGACCAGCCCCCAGGAATGTGTGACGTTACATCACCCAGGGCCAAGCTGTCATTCCTCTGCCTTTGCTCAGCTCTCTGGAAAAGGGAATTTCTCTGTAATTTCCAGCGTGGGGGGCAGAGTGTAAATCACCAAGATGCTGCGTTCTTGCTCACTCCCAAGCGCATCACGTTTATTCTGCGTTTTGTTTCCTTTCTTCAGTCCAGAGTGAAGATTAAATGGTTTGCTCTGGGGTCCTAAAAACTCCCTGAAAATAGAAAAGCTTGTAGGAACGAGCTCCAAGGAAAACAAAAAATATCATCCAGGTCCCTAAACCATGGGGTTTAAATATCATCTTGGACTTTGCTTGGTGCATGTAACTTGCCGTTGGGTCTTTGAGCCTTCGAAAGGTGCATTTCCAGCCGCTTGTCCATCAGCCAGGCAAGCAGGAGTCTCTCTCAGCTTTCATCTGAGCAACAGAGAAAACAAACAGGGTTTTGCAGGGCTTGGGGGAGCTGAACACTGGGGGAAAAGACAAAACAAAAGAAAAACCAAAAGCATCCCAAGCCCTGCAGTTAATGTGTTGGAAGTGGGTGGCCAGGAAAACCACTGGGCACTTTCCAGCCGAGGAGCAGCCGGGCAGGCAGCAGCGGCCGGAGGCGCGGGAGAGCTGTTATTCCACTTGAATTTCAGCCTCCAGGGTGCTCATTAAAAAAAGACTCAAAGTTTCCTACTTCATGTGTCAGCAACATGTGGAGAAACACTGCGTACGGCTCCGTGGGTCTGTTATCTCCTCTCGCTGTTCTTAACGGGTGTTTTTTCAATCGCAGCGTTATGTCCTGTGTAGGCATGGGGTTGTAAGGGAGCTGTGCGAGATGCTGAGCCTGCCGAGCCCTGCTCGGGGCAGGGGGCAGGGGGCTGGAGGGGGTCACAATTATTCCACTCACAGCCGAGTGTTTGGAAGGTCAGACCTGAAATGCCTGAAGCTGAGAAGCTGTGTTCGCACTTGAAAACGCGTGTCTCTAGGTTTTTCCTTTTGCCGTTCCAGCCCTCCCCCTGACTGTCAGGCTTCAGCTGTGAATCACTCCTGGGCACGTGGCTCACGCATGAACACTGCAAAATATTTTGGTGGAGAGGAATGGGGGGGGGAGCATAAGGTAACCCAGCTGATTTGTTCCCAGCCCTTCAAGTCCTGTGCCAAGGCATCGCAGCCTTCAGTATTTGCACAAGCATCTTTCCCAGAGCTCCCAGTCACGATGAAACCTGGGGTTTGGCGAGCAAGCCAAGCTTTAGATACTGCAGTTCAGTGGGGTTGGTATTTCTAGGAGTGAGCGAGGGCTGCAGGTAGAAATATCTGCCCCAGACCAAGTCCTGGCTGCTCACAAGGCTTTGGCTCCTTGCTTCTCCCATTGAGCAGGTCCATGTGAAGGGAGCCAGTGAAGGGTCCTCCTCACCAGCATCCTCTTCCGAAGCTCCACATCTCCCGGGGAGAGGGGGTGATGTTAGTAATGAGTCGCCACTATTATTAACAGCCCTTGTTGTCTCTCTGACAGCTTCACAGAAGCCATGAAGAGCCAGCCGAGGCTGGAGGGCTTGGACTGCCACTGGGGCTATTACTCAGGCTTGGCCATCTTGGCCGTGGGGACCTTGTTCGTCATCTCCAGCTTCTTAGCTCTAGGATTCACCGGGACGTTCCTAGGTAAGCACTAAAAATTCAACAGCTTCACCAGAAAGCTCATTTAATCCTCGCAGGGGTCTTTTGCTAGGGCTGAGTCTGTACAAATTTCCTTGTCCTTGCCTTCGGGGCTGTTAGATTTGGTCTCCTCTTTATGATACCAAAGCATGATCTAACCATGCCGTTACCTTGCACAGAGGAGATGGCACCGTGGTTTTATACGGTGGGTCCCATCACCTTCAGTGTCGAGCCTGAAATTTTGGAAAGCAGCAGATCATCTGACAGTTCAGATGTCCCCCCAGAAAAGGGACCCCCAAGTACAGCCCCCACGAGGAGGTCGGCGCCGGCACAGTGGGTGGGAGCCCTCCGGCAACCTTGCTCTGAGCCCCCACCTGCTCGACACACGTGCCGAGGCGGGATCTTGTTTGCTCTTCCCTCTGCAATAAACCTGACGTTCGTTGACAGATTCTTTTATCTGCCGCTTTATGGCAGAAAGCATTTTCCACTGTGCCTGCTTTTCCATTTAGAGAGTAATTCTATTAACGTTGTTGACTTTAAAAACATGCCAGTATGTGTGGAATTCATAAAAATAAAACAGAGACAGGAACAATAAATATCGAAGGAAAGGGGCAGCTCCCGCTGGCTGAAATAATCACAGCCCCAGCTTTGACACTGCGTTTAGGCTGTGCTTTTGCAAGTGCTTTACAAACCAGATTCAATTAGCTCCTGCAGCGTCGCCAGGAAGAAGAGAGGGAGGTAATAAGCCTTCCTGCTTTCAAGTGGAGTTGCAAAGAAATGTGTTGAGTTGGCCAAGATCCTACAGCTAGAAATAGAGCTCAGCACTCCTCAACGTGTGCCTACACCCTTCAGCTGTGCAGCCCCGCTCCTGGCCCAGCGTTACACCCCTGTCCCCCTGGGCACCAGCATCCTCCAAAATCCCCCGCAGCCCCCAGGAGCAATGCCGTGCCTGCGGAGCCGTGTCCAGGGAGGCCGGGCACAAGAGAACCCGCCAGCCAGAGCTGCTTGAATGCTCCTGAAGTTCAGCCAGGTCTGGGGCTGTTTACGTAAAGTCTGATTCATCCGACCGGGAGGATCCAGTGGACTCGAACCGCAGGGGAAAAGCAAACAAGTGAGTCAGGCTCGGCGTAAGCAGTGAGTGGCCCTGGCCCCCTCTGCTCTGCATGGCCGGTGGCTCCCGTATCCCCCTGGACAGGGAAGAGGCAGTTAGTGGCCCGTATCAGGCACTTCTGCTCCATCCTTCCTGCCGGCGGAGGCTCTCCCTTGCCACCGGCACACCGGGCGGAGGCTGCACGGCTCCAAGCCTTGCGTGACGCAGCAGGGAGCAAGGCCAGCTCGTGATGGGCAGCAGGGCAGAGCTGAGTCAGGGTGGGGAGATGCCAAGACCATGTGCTGGTGCAGCCAGGCTGGCTCAGCACCTCTGTACCATGGAGGTATGGACCAGCTGGAGCCCCGCAGAGCATCCATCCTGGGACCGATAGCAGCTTCTCAGCTCCACGCAAGCCCCCAAGTCAGCAAACTCTTAATGGAGAATGCTGCTCAGCGTGGCTTCTTACCCAGACATGGAGAGGATGAGGCGTCTGCAGGTCTCTGAGGATCCAACGTCCTCGTGCGTGCCGGGTATCGGGGATGTGCTGGCGCTGGGGAGGAGCAGGTCCCCCAGCAGTGACAGCACGGCTGGCTGCAGGTAGCAAAGGGCTGCGCTGCTTTGGCAAGAAGGGGGCATCCAGCTTCTCACAGAGCTCAAGAGAAGTTTTGAGAGAGCCTCCAACACCCAAACACTTCAAAAACTTACTGGAACAGCATTTGACCCTTCCAGCTTGGATTTTCTGCAGCAGTGAGGGCTGAACCAGGCAGGGTACGGAGACCCCATCGGGGTGCCCATTACATTCCCCTCTAACAGCACATTTAAGCTTTGAAGCTGCTGCAGAGCACTTTGGCTCTTAAATGTGGGCTAAACAGTGCAGCAGGAGCCACTTTCCTGTGCCCCCCATGTCCCGCACAGCCACAATGACCCCAGCCCCTCTTTGCAGCAGCTGGATGTGGCCCCTCACCCCGGCAGCCGTCCCCCCACAGAGCGATCCTGCTGGTGCTGGGCTCTGCACCGTGCCCTCGCTGGGATTCAAGCATCAGTTCAGCACCGTCTTCCTCCCCGTTTGCCCTATTTCCTAACGAACGTAGCAACAAGAGCTTGGCTTCCCGGAGGCGGAGGGCACCGAGGGGCGGCTCTGCCTGTCTGAGCCCATCTGTCTCGCACCCGAGCGCAGTTCCTCCCAGCATTGACCAACATTTCAAGTAAATCTGACGTGACCGAAGTCTGTCACTGGGCTCTGCTGAAGCCGATGGTTCTGCGGAGGGAAGCCGTGATGGTGCTTCAGCCCAGGTTGGGCTCCGGGGGCTGTGGGGGACCTTGTGGAGTGCATCAGATGGCTTTTTGCTGCCACGATCCAAAGTGTCTTCCCTTTGCAGTGAGATGGTTACACTGATCTTCAGCAAAAAATAACCCCAATTAGACGCCAAAGTCCCCCAGCCTGACAAGGAACAGATTCCTGCTTCAAGGGCTTAACGGAGGCACAGGAGATGCCCAGGCTTCTCGGTCCTTTCCCTTAGCACCTGCCTGGATAGAAGAAATATTGCCAGTCCTCTTTGATGGTCATGTTCGTTTAACTGGGTGGCTTTAGAGACAGGGTTTACATCAGGAAGAGCTTGTGTCCTGGGGGAGCAGGCTGCTGTGTGCTCGTGCTTGCGGGGAGCCCCCCGGGAGAGTCCTGCACCCCCCCACTGCCGGGCTCAGCCCCATGGACCCCAGGCTTTGTGCAAACCTCCCGGGTGCCAGCGCCGTTCAGGGAGCGGGGTGTTCAGAGCCCAAAGGCGAGGGCGGGCAGGGTGTAATGAAGCATTTTGACACATAAGAAAGCACAGAAATGGGCTGTGGCGGGGGGTGATGTGTTCTTTCTACCAGAACAATCTCCGAGATGTATTGCCAAGCGACTGTGAGAACATATAGTATGAATACCAGGCAATTATCTCACTTAGTGGCCTGTAGTTAAAGCCCAAAAGCATTGTCTAATTGGGCAGGCACTGTTTATCCTCAGAAATAAATGTTTTTGCACCATGTGAGGTCAAAGAAATTACACTACGATCCAGGTAATAATAATAACCTTGAATAGTTTGCACTCCTGTAATGCCTTTTATCTGGATTTCCAAGCACTTTCTCACCATACGTTAATCCTCACCACCCTCCGTGCTATAAGAAAGACTGATATTATGATCGGTGCACAATAGCATCAGGAGGGATGGAGGAGATTTGCCCAAGGTCAGGGAATGGGGCTGGCAGCAGAGCTGGGAACGTGACCCAGGGCGGTGACAGCTCCCTGGGCTGATGGACCAGCACCGCTCCTCAATGATGGATGCTGCAATGGACCAGTGCCGCTCCTCGCAGATGGGTGCTGCAATGGACCAGCACCGCTCCTCGCTGATGGATGCTGCAATGGACCAGCACCGCTCCTTGCAGATGGATGCTGCAATGGACCAGTACTGCTCCTTGCAGATGGATGCTGCAATGGACCAGCACCGCTCCTTGCTGATGGATGCTGCAATGGACCAGCACCGCTCCTCGCAGATGGATGCTGCAATGGACCAGCACTGCTCCTCGCAGGTGGATGGTGCATCTTCTGCAGCAGAAACAGAGCAAAATCCTTGCTGGGCTTTGTGGTCTTGCTTGTAAGACCAACAAAAGTCAGAGATCTGCATCCAGGCTCTTTCTCCCCTCCCTGAAATGCTGCTCATAAGCTGCACAACATCTCCTTGGTTGTCATTTCTTTTCCAGGCTCCTTTCAGGAGGGTGGAAGGATTACTGCGAGGTAGATAGGGAGCCGGTTGGATGCTGACAGTTCTGAAAGCTTTCCTCATTACTGACAATCTGACAATCACCTATTATCATCATCATCATCATGCTGATAATTGAGTGTTTTGTAGGCAGAGGTGCTATTTTCTGAAATTCTGAGAAATTCACTGAACTATGAGATGAGGGTGACACTGAATGAGGGCATTTGGTGGTGGCGGTCGTGATTAGAACATCTTCAAACGCCATTACAGTGCGCTGGGCTTATTTCCCCATTAAATGGTTTTGATCCTGAGCACTTGCTTCCTCATTGAGGGGCATCAGACGGGTGGTTTTCAAATGAGAAAGCCAGAACTGGCCAGTTGGGACCTCGAGAGCTGCCTCCCGATGAGGGACGTGGCTGCTGTAGCCTTGCTGCAATGCACAAACCTTCCTCGTGGGCCAAGAGCCATTCCTGGAAAAGCTGATGGACACAGAGTAAACAGCCAGCCTGTCGGTTGGTGTTTTCTCAGCCTGGAAGTCAGCAGCGAAACCCCTCGTTTGCCTTCACTCTGCCTCCATGGCAGGGATGCCCATGGCACAGGGAGGGTGCCAGAGCCCCCCCACAACTCTCGGCTTCATGGAGCCTAACGGGAAACCCTCTGTTTGTTCTCTAGGTGATTACTTCGGCATCCTGATGGAGGCAAAAGTGACCAGCTTCCCCTTCAGTGTCCTGGATAACCCCATGTACTGGGGCAGCACAGCCGTCTACCTGGGCTGGGCCCTCATGTGAGTACGTGCCCCTGCGAACGCTGCCGGCCGTAGCGCAAATCGTAGAATCACAGAATGGTTTGGGGTGGAAGGGACCTTAAAGATCATCTAGTCTGACCCCCGGCCATGGGCAGGGACACCTCCCGCTAGCCCAGGTTGCCCAAAGCCTCATCCAGCCTGGCCT